ACATTACTTAGAGCTCTTTGGTTGATTAATTGATTTATTGTCACGTTTCGTCACAAAATATAGTGAAAAGCTTTGTTTACGAGTGGTAAAGGCAGATCACAGCAAGCAAAGGATGTACAGATCAAAAAGACTTAGAGGCATACAGGTTACATTGCAGTTTACATTATTTGAGGCTAGAGTCCATTCAACAGTCTGATAACGGCCAGAAAGAAGCTGTTCCTGAACCTGATTGTGCGTGTGTTCAGGCATCTGTATCTTCTGCCTGACAGAAGAGGTTGTAGGAGATCATTACCAGAGTGCGATGGGTCTTCGATGATGTTGGCTGCCTTTCCATGACAGCAAGCCGTGTAAATAGAGTCCTTGGATGGAAGGTTGACTTCCATGATGGTCTGGGCTGTGTACACCACCTTCTATAGTTTCTTACAGTCCTGGGCAGAGCAGTTGCCAGACCAGGCCGTTATGCACCCAGACAGTATGCTTTCAATGGTGCATCTGTAGAAGTTGGTGAGGGACCTTATGGACATGCCAAATTTCCTGAGCAGCCTGAGGAAGAAGAGGCGTTGTTGTGCCTTCTTGACTGTTGCATCTACATGGGGAGTCCAGGACAGGTCACCAGTTATTGTCACAACGAGGAATTTGATGCTCTTCATCCTCTCAACCTCAGTTCCATTGATGTAGATGGGAGTGTGTTTTCCTCCTTTCTTTCTGAAGTTGATGATCAGTTCTTTAGCTTTGCTGATGTTGACAGAGAGGTTGTTTTCATTGCATCATGTCACCAAGCCCTCTATCTCCCTTCTGCATTTTGACTCATCGTTGTTAGATATCCGTCTCACTATGGTGGTGTCATCAGCAAACTTGTAGATGGCATTCGTTCGGAATTTGGCAACACAGTCGTAGGTATACAGGGAGTACAGTAGGGGGTGAGGACGCATCCTTGGGGGCTCCAATGTTGAGTGTTATTGTGGAGTAGGTGCAGTTCCCTATCCTCACTGATTGCGGCCTGTGGGTCTGAAAGCTGAGGATCCAATTACAGAGGGCGGAGCTGAGACCAAGGTCACAGAGTTTTGAGATCAGTCTGGAGGGGATAATGGTGTTGAAGGCGGAGCTGTAGTCAACGAGCAGGAGTTTGACATAGGTGTCTTTGTTGTCCAGATGTTCCAGGGAGGAGTGCAGGGCTAGGGATATGGCATCCACTGTGGATCTGTTACATTGGGAGGCAAACTGTAGGGGATCAAGGCAGGCTGGGAGACTGGAGTTGATGTGAGCCACGACCAGCCTCTCGAAGCACTTCATGATTATTGAAGTCAGAGCCACTGGGCGGTAATCATTAAGGCACACTGCATGTGTTTTCTCAGGTACGGGGATGATCGTGGTCTTCTTGAAGCAGGTGGGGAGTTCGGCTTGTAGGCGGGAGAGGTTGAAGATGTCGGTGAAAACCTCTGCTAGTTGGTCTGCGCAGTATCTGAGTTCTCAGCCAGGTACACCGCCTAGGCCTGTTACTTTCTTTGTGTTGACTCTCAGGGAGACCGATCTAAAGTCTGAAGTGGTGACAGAGCGAACAAGTGTGTCTGGGGCTGTTGGGCAGACATCACCTCGCCGTTGGCATTCTGCTCAAACCAAGCATAGAAAGCATTGAGCGTGTCAGGGAGGGATATGTCTTTGTCCGCTATCTTACACTGTTTCATTTTATATCCTGTAATGTCATTTAGGCTTTGCCATAAGCGACAGGTGTCTGTTTGGTAGGTCTGGGCCTCTAACTTGGTCCAGTACTGCCTCTTGGCCTCCCTGATGGCTTTGTGAAGGTCATGTCTGGATTTCCTGTGTTGGTCTGGGTCACCTGACTTGAATGTATACGTCTGGTCTTCAGTAGGGAGTGGATTTCCTGGTTCATCCAAGGTTTCTGGTTGGGGAACACTCGGATTGACTTCTTTGGTGCACAGCCCTCCACATGTTTGGTAATGAAGTTGGTGACGGTGGTGGCGAACTTGTCTGGGTTTTCCGCTGAACGCTTGAACACGGTCCAGTCCACCGAGTCCAAGCTGTCCCGGAGACCGTCTTCCACTGCCTCAGACCAGCACTGTACTTCTTTTCGTGAAGACTTCTCCCATTTCAGCTTCTGCCTGTAAGCTGGGAGGAGGAACACAACGCTGTGGTGGGATTTTCCAAAGGGTGGGTGGGGGATGGAGCGGTAGGTGTCTTTGGTTGTGTAGCTGTGGTGCAGAATGTTCAGTCCCCTGGTGGGACAGGAGATTTGTTGGTGGGCCTCGGGGCATGTTTTTTGGGAGCAAAATTTTCTTTGGGACTAAAAATGTAACAGTTAAAAATGTTATTTTAAAATCTTTGACAATGGATAGTGAGTGAGCATATCGGTGGATAGATTGAATATAGATATAAAATCTTGATCATGTAATGTTGAGATACTTAAATTAATTACTCAGCTTTTAGTATTAAAAAGAGGGAACCCTGAAATTAAGAGATAGTAAGAAATGCCGATGCTAGAGTCTGAGTAACACAGTGTGAAGCTGGAGGAACACAGCAGGCCAGGCAGCATCAGAGGAACAGGAAATCTGACATTTCGGGTCAGCTTTCCTGCTCCTCTGATGCTGTCTGGCCAGCTGTGTTCCTCCAGCTCCACACTGTGTTAACCCTGAAATTAATGTGTCCTTGCTAGAATTAGCTAAGATTCAGTTAGAAATTTAAAAAAAAAACTTGAACTGGAAGAAAAGGAGATGAAAAGAGCAATGTTAAGGGAAGAAAAAGGGGAAAAACATGGAAATAAAGGAGGCTTCACTTGGCAAAATAAAAAGAAGTAGAGAAAAATGGAGATAAGGAAGAAAATGAAAGGGAAATTTAAGTTTAAAAAAAAATCTTGAATTCCAAAATCAGACACATGATTTTGCTGGGGAAAACAGTAGAGTAAAAGAAGAAGGAAAAGATGGAGCCTCGGATGAGGATTCTGATTCCATTAAGGGTCTTAATTTAACTAGAAAGCTCATTTTAATACCTAAATTTGCAAAGGATGAACTTGAAAGGCGTTGCACCAATTTGAAAAGATAACTGTGCAGTTGAAGTCTCCTAAAAGATTTGAACAGCTCTGAACGTGTAAACTAGTTTGTCAGAAGAACAATCAGCAGCTTTTGAAGCTGTTAAAAGATGCTTGTGAACTTGTCCCTGAAGCTTGTCAATTTCAATTTAAGACTAAGAAACCTAATCAAACGTTTGTGGAATTTACAAGAGGAAAGGAAATGCTTTGGGATCAGTGTATTCATTCACGGGAATTAGAGAAAATAATTTAAAATGTGAAGGAAATCATTATTATGGGGTATTCTGAAATATTATTCTGGTAACCCTCAAGACTTATTTAGATGAGTGTCAAATATTGAAGATCTAAAGAACAGCAGTTCTTATGGAAATCCGATACATCTTTGACTGATAGTTACATGTGGGGAAATGGTCATATGGGAATCAATAAAGGAATCTGGATATGAAGTAAACAGATGGATGTTAAACTAATAAAGGAGAAAGGCTGGCATCTAAAAGGTAAATAAAGAAAGAAATATCCTTCTATTTTGATAAGACTGGACGTACCATAGCTAATTGCTGCAAGTTAAATAGGACACCCCGGCATAGTAGGAATGCTGAAAGAATCCTCGGAATTGTCGTGGGGAACAAGGTGCCTGTTCCCATTACCTGTCTCTGGGGGACCATTACAAGCAAGGGTTCACTGGAACTTATCAAATAAAAAAGGAACTCAATGGTGTGAATTATGTAGGGATTCGAGAGAGGGAAGTGACCAGTGAGAGGTTCCGGAGAGGGAAGCAGTCAACGAGGGTGTCAGTGGAGGGTTGTGACCAGTCAGGATGGGAGAGGGTGGTGATCAACCTGTAGATGGGAGACAGTTGTAACCATTGAGAGGGTGCAACTGGCAAACAGGTAGGGACAGAAAGCAACCAGTGAGGGGATCAGGAGAGGGTCACAAGCAACAACCAGTCAGGATGAAAAATGGGCTGTTGCTAAGTAGTATCTAGACATCTGAGTCAGTTTTTAGTTTAACGTCGCAAGTAGACTTTTTACCTACACTTGAAGAATATAATACAGTCTTGTTACATTTCTTCATATGGGAAAGTGATTTTCATTTTGCATGCTGTTTTACAGGAACACGTCAGAAATGTGAAACAAGGGATAGCTGTGTATTCTTTGCCCATTTTGTTTGATAATAGTCGAACAAAGTGCCATGGGACATTTTTAGTCTAAGTTACTGTGTAAATATAAGTTATTCTTGTTGTTTTGTATATATAAGCACGCTAACTCAGGATAGTGGGTTAGGTTAACTAGTTTTTATTAATCATCAAGCTGATAATGTTTAGTGTCGAGAACGAAACATTTACTGCCTATGAATCTCTGTGTCAATGCTGAATATTCCAAAGCCAGGTTCAAACATAGTTAGATATGTAATGAGTTTTCTCTGTACTGTCCCAAAATATTGTGAAGTTCAGCCTCAGGAAGTGTATTCCTTACTATTACATTTTCCAACCTGTAGCTCATCTACGTGAGCCTTTGGTGGGAGAAATGATCCCAGGAAGTAGTATTCTCACTGCTCCCAAGGTTTTCTCATGCAAATCTGTAGTAGTCAGGCTGAAAAAATGCTACTTGGGATAATTGTAAAGGTTATCACACTGTTCCAAATTGCTTACATGATCATTTTTTTTCCTGTGCCATTAGGATCTGGATTCAGATTGCTCTAACACTTTGTGTATTCCCTTTATAGCCAACAGGGGAGATTTCTATTCTTAATTTGAAGCCAAATCCTAGAAGTTAAAGGCCAATGGATTAACACTGGCCACCTGCCAGGCCTGTTGAAAGTTAACTCTAGATTTAGTTAGCATCATAAAGTCATACAGTGGCTCCATTAATATTCCTATATGAACATTCATTACATGATCCACATTTATCTGATGATGGAAATGGTCTATAATAATATTTTTTTCTTCTAATTGCAGGACAGTGAAGGACAGACAGCATTGCATTATGGTAAGATTGTCAGCTTAACTTTATAATTTATTCTATGTTGTAAAAATCTTTTTGCCAGATTTTGAAATGGGGTTTTGACCATTTCAACCATGGCTTCAATTGTTGACTGTCTCCAAGTCATTACTTTGGGACACTGGTAGTCACAATGACAGATAAACAATGAAATAAGGATGATATCGGTTCTTCCAGGTCCTTCCTCGGCCTACTTTGTGTTACCTTCTGCAATCCTCTCAGCTTTTCCTTACGTTGTATTTAGGGAGAATGGATAGCCAACCTGAAAGTGGTTCCCCACTGACAAGTAGATTTCTTTCCCTTTGTATTTAATAGCTGATGATTGTGTTTTATCCCATGTACCCACAGAGAAGAAAATATACCAGCTGTATTACATTACAATGACAAATGAAATCAAAATATAATTATACAGCAAACTTTGTTTTAACCAGCATGCTTGATAAACTGACAAAAAATTATATACCTCAACTACCGTGAAGTTTACTGTATTATTCTGTTCGATCATTATAGTTTTTTTAAATTTATTTACCTCATGTAAATATACATGTTGTTCAATTGAATGTCCACACGAAATATCAACAGTTGATTCAATTTCAAATCAATTTCTCCTCAAATACTGCGATGTACCGCGATGTCCAAGTAGACAGTTCAGGGTCTGAGTGAGATTGCTGTCTGCTAGTAAGTTTTATTTAAGGCCAAGTTGCATTATTTTTGAAAATAATTTATACTGTAAATAAAGTAAAACAGTGATGTGTATACCTCCAGCAATACTTTTCCATTACTTAATGTGTTTTTTACATTGATAATGTGGACCTCTTGATTATGCGGAGCACAATGTTTGTCCCATAGGTGTGCCGGATAATAAAAAATTTATTGTACTTTGAGTTTGATGCATCTCCACAGTGAATACGAGGCCACTTACATTGAACATTGTGTTGTTTGGTTACACCTTCAAGGCGAATTTATATGCCTTGGCCACCCCTACTTGTAAATTATTTCCTGGTATTAGCTTGGTAGGAAGAGCAGATTGAATTATTATCTTCACTGTCTTAATTAATTTGCTTACGCTTCTTAAAATGTATTCCCATATGCAAGTCTTAAAGTACAGCTCAGTTTGAGTCCTAATCCTCAAGGGCATATCTTCAATTTCTTCCAAAGGTGTAAATTTCCCATAGATTTAAGAAGATTTAATCCATCCACCGGGACTTCCATGATTCTTCCTTCAATGAGAATGACTCTGTAAAGTCCAGCTGCGCGCACATGACGTTTTTTTTGTGATGAAATAGTGACAGAAACAGCTGGACTGCATCTTCATCATAGCAACTTCTGTACCTTATTCCTGATTTCTGTACTTTGTAATTGTCTAAAACCCAAAGGAAAATATTCTACATAAGCAGTTTATATGCAATATACCTTCCTAAAGTTGAAAACCATTCCGAAATTCATTCAAAACATCTCAGCAGTTGGTAGGCTTAAGTAATGTTTAGATCCATTAAAAAAAAATGAGCAGGTGGATTGGAATTGGATTGAAGGGGAGAATCTGAATCTGAGGCTGGTTTTCAGTTGCATTAGAAGCAGGGAAGCCTCATGTCAGCAGCACTGATTGATTGATTGTCTCGAGAGGAGACAAAGAATTTCAAAATCATGTCAACAAGATCTTGAGAGGTAGAAATTAACTATAAGAACATATACCAACCCGTGGTGATTTAGTTATACACCCCAATCCTGAAAATATGGAAACTGAAATTTAAAAATCTCAAAACCAACAATGGACAATTTTTAAAATGACGATTTCCAGGATCAGTGGGTTGTACCAGTGTTCCAGGAAACTTTTTAATTCTGTCTCTTGCACTGATGCTTACTATAAACTGTATATTTTTTTTGGCTGCTTTCCTCAAAATTCAGATTGTAGTGAATTCACTATCTCTTTAGATTTACATTTATTTTGATAATATTCAATTTTTTAACATTTATTTTGTTGAAAGTTCTAGGATTTTTCAAATCCATCCAATTTCCAAGTTTATTTGGTTTTTACTTCAAACAAGTCAATGGCATTGATGGATTTTCCCTACTGCCCCTTTGTATCTCAAAGAGTACCTATGATTTCAGATAAAAGCTGAATATCACCCACAGAAACTTAACAATTTTCTTTCTGTTTTCCCCTCTGGCAAACCCTGGTTTGGCTTTGTCTTGAACTAATTGAGAATTTTCCCAACTTACCTGGAATGGAGTCATTTAACTAAAGCGAACATTTTATTTTTTTTAAGAAAGCTGGAACTCTGGCTAGTTGAATTTATGAGCTTTTTTTAAGCTGACAAAGCTAAAGATTGGATCTGAATCATGCAGGAGACAGTGCTGCTAACACTGCCTGCTCCCAAGCACAAAAAAGACCAGTTGCCTGACACCATTCCTGCCCATTTGATATAATTGTGATGGGAGCAAGTGCTTGCCCATACTTTATAATTTTTAAAGATTGCTGATTATGACATTGGAACCTTTGGACACGTCATGGATGTTTAAAATTTGCAATGATCTACAAGAGAGTGATACACTTTACAGATTTCCCAGAGCGTAGCTGCTGTACTCAACCATTTTGTTTGCATATGCACGGAAGGCTTTACATCAAAGCTGACATCTATACATAGTAGGTTTAGTTGTGAGACCAGTATGCTTCACTGGTCTTCTATCATGTACGTAAAGACATCTGTACTGCCTTTATAGGACTCAAGTGTCTACTAGATATATTACTCTCCTTGTCAATATATAATGTTTTTGTGAATTTCCTTGTCCTGCTACTGATTTATACAGTGCTTATACATCCCTAAGATGTGAGCAACTAACTGGCAGTCATATAAACTTCTCTTATTCAAAGAGGAAACCAATTAATGTAAATGTGAGCTTAAGCCAGAGAAAGCCATGATTTTGAGTGAAGAATTATGATAAATTTTGTACTTTATTTTGCATGGTGAACTCTACTGGAATATTACGATCCTTTGATGGTCCTCTCAGGATCTGACTCCCTTCCCTTTCCCTGAGTTACAGCTAAGTTTGACAACAGTCTTTAAAACTGACAGTTCGACTTATTACATATGACGTCAAACACATTGTATGGACACACAATGCAGCTGAAGTTGTGGATTGTTGAGATTCAGCACAAGACAACAGTCAGACTACTTAGTGAGAGACATTTAGTGGGTTACTGAACGTGGGTTCAAGCATATACTGAGATAGTAGGAACTGCAGATGCTGGAGAATCCGAGACAACAAGGTGCAGGGCTGGATGAACACAGCAGGCCAAGCAGCATCTGAATTGTCTTCTAGAAAACAAAACATTTATTTTAAGGCCATGGGACATTTCCCTTTATATTTCATTTCATCTATGTTTTGGTTCTGTTATCATAAATATCAAAGTTAATGTTTACTACTACTTAAATTGTAGAACAATTGTATCAATGAAGAAAGGGTTACATTTATTTCATGTTTTTCACAGACCCCGGGACATGTCTTGAATGTTTTACAGCCAGTTGAGTACGTACAAAATGCCATCATTTTTGTAACACGGGAAACATGCCAACCAATCTGTGCACAGCACAATACCACAACAGGGGCATGCCCAACAATGATGGATCAGGATTACACAAAGGGACAGAATTTGAGGAACACAGAGATCAGAAAGTTTCAGGGCTGCCAGAGGTTAGAGATAGTGCAGAGCAAAATGCTTTGGCAAGCTGAAATTAAGGATGTGAATTTTAAAATCAAGGCATTGGCAGATTGAGAGTCAATGTGGAGGTCAGTGAGCCGCAGAGCTATTTGGTAAACACGGCTTGGTGTGAGTAAGGATACAGGCAGCAGTGTTGAGAGGCTGACGGGGAAGCATGGGGGTAGTCAAAGCCAGAGATAACAAAAATGTAGATGAGGGTGTCAGCAACAAATGAACTGAGCCAAGCGTGGAGTTGGTTAAGGTAGTCAGTCTTGATGATGGTGTAGATATATGCTTGGTACTTTGTCTCAACCAATTATGACACCCTGTCACAGTGTGGCTCAGCTTCAGACTGTTGCCTGGAACTTGTGTTTATGTTCATATTATAAATTTCCTGTTCCAAATTTGGAATGGAAATTGTAATTGTAAACTTATCATGCTGTAATTTTGTCTTCCACCAATTTATGTATTCAATGTTCATTATAAAGGAGCATCTAGAAATTTATAGCATAAAAATAACAAAATGTGGGTGGTAATATTTTATACATCCATCATAATACATGTATCCTATCAAATGAAATCCTTAACTAAGTGATTTTTTTTTTCTGCTGTGTAGATTCTACAATTATGCCTGGTAAATATTGATTCTAAACAGTCATTTCTAAGAATCCCTACCAAAAGTCTAATGTGGAGAAAATTAGTACCTCTCTGTGGGGTAGCACGTTGAAAGAGCTCCACTATTCTCTGAGTCATCAGAAAAGTTACAGGTTTATGCAGGATTCTGCAATTTACCTGACTTTTAGACCCAGGTTGACAGAAAACACAGATGAGGTTTCTGTAGTTAACAAGATTTGCTGATTATTACAAGTAAATAGACTGTAGCTATAGGTTAACAACTACAAACTATTGGCATGTAATTTTACTAGTTCAAACTCTAATGCTCTTTATGAGCTGCCTTACAAAACCACACACACACACACACACACACACACACACACACAGTTAATGTGGACTTCCAAAGCGCATTTGATGAAGTGTTGCATAACAGACTGTGAGGGAAGTTAGAACTCATGAAATAAAAAAGACAGGGGCAGCATAGATATGAAATTGACTGGCTGAGTAGCAGGAAACACAGCAGAGATGAATGGCTGTTTTTCGGACTGGAGAATGGTTTATATTGCAGTTCCACATGGGTCGTTGTTAGGATCCTTGCTTTTCAGGATGTGTAATAATGACAAGACTTTAGTGTATGGAGCACTCTTTCAAAACTTGCAGATGACACAATATC